CCTGATCTTCCTTCGGAGGAGTGGCTGTTGGGTTTGAACCACCAGCCGTCTGGTTAGCAATCAGATGCCTTAGGTACTACACCACCAGAGGTCCCAGGTTATTTCTTCTAAATCCTCAAGTATTGCTGATGTGCTAACTGTAAATTAGACTTTTTTTTCTTCAGAAGAGAATATCACACTTAATTATCTCACTAGCTCACAACGCCCCTCTGGTAAGCATTTAATGTGGGACTGAGTTACATTCCATCCCCAAAAGGTAGTAGCCAGATGGTGAGAGAGTAGAATTCCTTGATCTTTACAGAAAACTCCTGGTGTTTGTTTTTCCCGGTTGATTCTGTGATATCTTACATGAATACAACTAACAAATGAGGACAATGACAGGAAATAAGCCTGTTTTGTGTGACCTTCTCATAAGATGAGTAGAACTTTTTTAACATAAATTTGTGGAAGCTGATATTACCAGTGAAAGAAGGATTTAAGTCTTTGATAAACCATCAAGACTTTGCAGAAATGTTTTTTACCCATATTATTTGAATTCTGGTTCAGCAGTTTGCAGCTTTGGCCCATTCTGTATATTTTGCATTTGTACCTTTAAATATTACTGGCATTTCTGGTTGGGCTGACTAAGCACAGTATTTTATGGAATTTTTCTGTTTGGGTAGTTTAGTATAACCAAAAAGAACCAAACCCACTGCCATCAAGTCCATTCTGCTCCTCATTGGGTTTCCAAGGCAGTAAATCTTCATGGAAATAGATTGCCCCATCTTCCTTCAACAGAGCAGCTGGTGGATTTGAACCACCAACCTTCTGGTTAGCAGTCAAGTGCCTTGGGCACTGCACCACCAGGGATCCTTGTAGTATAACAAGGTACTTGATAATAAAGTCTTAGAGATCAACCTGGAGAGTTGATACTTTATTATGAACAGCAAGTTTGCATTTTATGGGAATTTCAACTATGTATATTTGGACTTGGGTGATCCAAAAAATATTAAATCTTTTTACGTGCAATATTTGAACTAATATAAATCCTTTTCAAATCTTTTTAATTCACCAAGGATAACATTTCAAAGTTGATTGGCTGAGTAGGTTGTAAGTTGTGTTAAAGAGATTTCTACACCGAGAGCCACTTTCTCTGGTAAACAGAAATGCCCGTCATCTTTTATTGGTATCCTGTTAGCATCAGAACTTCTGTGAAGGGTTTTACTGGTTATTGTGAAGTTAGTTGAATATTCATCATCATTGCAGTTTACAGTGTCATCCAGGTGTCCATTAAATGGCTGAAAAACTTCTGAACATGAGTAACTTTGAAATGGAGCTTTGACGTGACGGACTGTTATGAGAGCCAAGCCACTGCCGTCATAGCCACGCTGTCAGTGTGCTGTTGTTAGTTGCCGTTGAGTTGACTGTGACTCCTGGCAACCCCAAGTGTGTGTGCAGAGTAGAACTGTCCTCCATAGGGTCGTCAGGACTGTGGAGGTGGAGCTCCAGGCTTTACTTCAAGGTACTTCTGGGTGGGTCTGAGCCGCCAAGGTTTTCATCGCTGGGCCAGTGCTTAACCCTTTGCACTACCCAGGGGCTCCTCTCTGTATTTAGGACAAAGATATTGGGAAAATAAAATGGACCATTAAAGCAAAAATGTGCTATATTAATACAGGTTTTTATTTGTCTGGGGAAATTACTCTTAAACTTTTGCAAGTTTAAACTAAGAAACGTTCTCAGGAGTGGATCTTTTAAATAAAGTGCAACCTCCAGAAAGAAGGAGTTGTGGCATCAATTTGGGTAGACCCCATGCTGTGGTATAACAGTTACCTGTTATTTACATTTCTAGGAAAGTTCTGTTTGAAGATTTCCGGGCCTGGCTTTCTGACGTTTCTAATATTGACCTGAAATCAACCATTGATATGTCCTGTGCTAAGTATGAATTCACAGGTAAGGAAAGAGCATCCATGCAGCAAAATACTGGACTGTATGTCCCTCCATAGCAGCAGCAGCCTCCTAATAAGGAAAAGCAGAACTCAGAAAATACAGGACTCCACAAAGCAAGCCACAGGAGTTCCTTCCCCCTGCCACAGGAGTTCCTTCCCCCTTCTCCCTGCCCTTCTTATTCAGAGGTATCTGCTAGTACCAGCTTGGGGTACTGCAGTGTAGTAAATCACATAGTGTGGCTTTTCTAGCCATAAGTCTTTGTAAACTCTGTGGTGGAATTTGCCATGAGCAGCTGAGTAGCTCCTGATTGCTAAAGTTATCCACCTGGGGTATTTCTGTTGCACTAGCAGGAAGCAATCTTCTGGAAGTTTGCTCTCTCTCAGGTGTATAGAATTCTGATGTTGGGATTGGTTAGTGGTCACTCTGCCAGGCTCAAAAGGAGCCCTTCTAGAGGCAGAAGAAGTCTCTCTGACTGCTGGCTGAGAAAGACATGCTGCTGAGAGAAATGTGCTCCTGAGAGACACACGTTGCTGAGAGAGAAACACTGAGAGATACTCATTGCTGGGAGAAAGACTGAAAGAGACTGTTGGCTGAGAGATGGCGGGCTGAGAGAGACTGAGCATTATTTCTGAACTTGAATTATAGCCTGGTGCTTCCCTAATAAACCCCATAATATGTGAGTTCTGTGTGGGTACTGCAGCAAATTATCAAACCCAGCAGAGAGGTGGTAGATGCTGTGGGAGGAGTTGGTGTCAGGGTTTAAGAAAGAGCTGGAGGGAGACAGCATGTCTGCCCTCGCAGGAATTGGCCTTGGGCTGCTGATGGTGATTCTGTCTTCCTCTTGTGGGGTTAGAGGAGGTCAGGAGATGCAGCCTCTCTGCATCTTTGGCAGGTACGTTCTTCCTTTTCCCTGTGCATATAAATGTCTTTTCCAAAAGCAATTAAGTTTTCTCACCTGGAAAGAAAACTTGTTTTGTTTTGTTTTTAATTTTACTAAATAAAATTTTGGTTTGGTTTTGCTCTCATACACTGTCCAAGGAGAGTACCAACTTTTTGAGGCCAACTTGGTGATACATATGAAAAGCCATATTGTATCCCTTTTCTTCACTTTATTCTTTTTTTTTAATTTGAAAAGATTTCAAACTTACAGAAAAGTTCAAATTTTTTTTCCTGCATCACTTGAAAGTAGGTTGCTGACATGATGCCCTGGGACCCCTGGATACTTAGGTAATTCCTACAAAGACATTCTCCATTATACTAGTAAACTCCTCAGATCAAGAAAGGCTTTGATACATTATTACCATCTAACCCACATGCCCCACTCATGTTTCACTATTTGGTCCTTTATAGCAAAAGGATCCAGTCCGGGATGGCACATTGCATTTGGTTGTCATGCCTCTTTAGTCTTCAGACTGTTCCTCAGTCTTTCCTTGATGTCCATGTCCATGATTGGATGCTCCTGGAGAGTGACAGTCACGCTGTGTTGAGAACTCTTCAGTTTGGGTTTGTCTGATGTTCCTCGTGGTTAGATTGCTTTGTGCCTATCACGAGTGGTACTGGCTTTGATCTTGTGATGAAGGTGGTTCCTGTTGCTCTTTCCCTCTGCAAGTTAAGAATTTTGTGGGGAGACAATTTGAGATTAGGTAGCTATCTCATTTCTCATTAAACTTTTATTCATTTGTTTTAGTATCCATTCATGTTTCTTGCTAAATTATATTGTGATAGCTGCAAAATAGTGATTCTTCTAATAGTTGTTTCTTCTGCGTATGTCAGTGTCATTCTGTTGTAAAAACCTTTCTCTTTCTCCATTTGTTCTGGTTCCCTAGTGCTGCTCTGACAAGAAATATACCACAAATGGGATGGCCTTAACAAATAGGAGTTTATTCTTACAATTTGGAGGCTTTAAGTCCAAGTTCAAAGTGCCAGGCTCTAGGGCCTGGGTGAAAGCCCCTCAACCTTGGGGTCTAGCTCTGCCTCCTGTTTCCAGCCCACTGGAGCTAGAAGTGTTCCATAACTCAGACAGCTGCTGGCTGCTAAGGCTGAGAAGCCCCAAGGTTGACAAGTAAAAGGCACAGTACTGATGTTACCAAAGCACATGGCAGGCCATTTGCTTAAGTCCATTGTAAGTCCCAAGGTCAGCAGAGCATAGCAGGCTGCTGATCAATGACACAGCTACATGCACGGTCCAAGCATGCCATAGGCTAGAGACCATTCCCAAGGCTTCTCCTTATATACAAGAAGCAGACCACATTCCAAAGGCAACTACTCAGCTGCTTGTGGTAGATCCCACCATGGAGTTGATTGCCAGTCTCCTTATGGGGAATAACTACCACCAGCTGCCAAGCCATACAACCAGACCCAGCCAGATTGACACACAACATAACCACCACACCATTCATTCTTTCATTTATATCAGTATGGACTACTGTTTATGTAATGAGCTAATTATATAACACATAATTAACTATGATTATATTGGTGTTCATGTTGTTCCTAGTTTGGTCAAGGAGAGCCCCTTCAAACTGACACTTGTGTCTTTTTAATACGTCCTCATCATTCTTTGAGAACTTTCTTACTTTCTGGCAAAACAAGATTTTCCAGGCTCCTCTTGTGTTTTCCATGTCCTACACCTGGGGTCAGTCATTCTTCCAAAGAACCCTGTTTCCTTTTTAGTTAAGTATGAGAATTTATGTTAATGGGGGAAGAACAACTCAGATGAGGGTGAGTGTGAGTGTACCCCTTGCAGAATGTGATCACTGTCACCAAACTGTACATGTGTATAGGGAACCCTGGTGGCATGGTGGTTAAAGTGCTCAGCTGCTGGCTAAAAGGTCAGCAGTTCTAACCCACCAGCTGCTCTGTGGGAGACAGACGTGACAGTCTGCTTCCATAAAGATTTACAGCCTTGGAAACTGTGAGGCAGTTTTGCTCTCTCCTGTAGAGTTGCTATGAGTCACATTGACTCGATGGCAATGACTTTTGGGTTTTGGCTGCTGTGTATATTCTCAGTAACAACAAAATAATAAAAAGAAGAATCATACTTGAAAATCAAGAGCTGGACTCTAGGTGTCTTTGCTATTGAGGTGTCACTGCTCCCCAGGCCCTTTTAGTGGAAAGAGGTAGCAAGTATATTTACACACACATATGTGCGTATTTACATGTGTATGTATTTGTATCTCTCTCTATGTATATGTGTGTGTGTATGTGTATATGTATATATGCACACATAAACACACACACACATATCTACATATAAGGGAGCGCTGGTGGCCACTCCTCGGAAGGGAGAATGGGCAGTCTATTTCCCTAAAGATACAGCCTCAAAAACCTAAGGAGAGGTTGCTATGAGTCGGTTTGGACTCAACAGCAGTGAGGTTTTTTTTTTATGTACATGTTGTTGTTGTTATGTGCCGTCGAGTCGGCCCCGACTCATAGCGACCCCTCCTTGGGTTTCCGAGGCAGTATCACTACGGAAGTAGGATTGCCCAACCTTCCTTCCAAGTTTATGTACATATGTAAATATATTTAAGTCATCTATAAACTGAATTAACACTGATTCTTCCAATTCTAATTCAGCATCACATGGTTCCTTCTAGATTTCTTTTTTCCAGTCTATTTATTTATTTATTTAAACAGTCCCTCCATGTGTAATTATACCTACTTGTCACTATTGACTATCTTGTTATCTGACATTTCACATTTACGACAGCAGTAAAGAAAAATTTACCACAGGGCTATTTGGCACATTAATGAGGTGGCAGGCAGGGGTGCAATAGCTACTGAGCATCACCTTCATCAAGGATGGTCTCTGGGCGACCTCCAGAAAACTGGGCCATTCTACCCCAGTACCCCCCATCCCCTGTTGCCAACAGGGGCACTGTAACCACCTGCCAGATGGGGCTGACCTTGCCGCCTCTGTGACCAAGGCCTACGGGCAGACGTGCAGGCAACACTGCACGTTGTAAATACGCACATATGTGTGTATAACCAGCGGACACCTGTCTGGGTTCCCAGCTCCCGTGTGGCCTGAGGCCCTGAAGCTCAGAATTGTTGTGGGGTGCAAAAGGAGGGGAGAAAGGGGCATCCAACAGAGTGCCTGGAAGAAATGTATGAGTTTCATGACATCCCAAAGTGAGCCAGACTGGGCCTGAAGCCTCCCCTCTGTGGAGTGGGGCTGGACGTATGAGCAGCCTCCCAGTACCCTCACAGGAAGCCCTGAGCCTGGGTGACTTGCTAGGCTTGGGGGGCAGGGTGGACCCCAGAATCATGGATCAGGGCTTCCAGGGGTGGGAGTGGAGCTCTGGAGTTGGCTCCATGACCCAGCACAGGAGGAAGGGGGAGTGGCTAAGCCAGGGGCCTCGGTCCCACAGCCCAGGTATGTTCAGCTTTGTCTCCTCCAAGCGTCCTTCTCCACAGAGGAATGATCCATAACTGGACCCATCACAGTCACGAACACATCCATAAATCTTAGCTGTTGTTATTTGTGATCATATATTCTAAATTAAAAAAAAAAAAATGGACAAATGTCTGATAACAGAGAAGGAACAAACCTTCCATAATGTGGATTTTTCCATGAAAACCTAGTCTCTGGAACCTAACCGCATTGATAAATGGGTATAATTTCAGCTCACTGCGGCTATTTCCTCCCTTCCCAACCCCACCTATGGCTTTTAGGAGTTTAGTTCAAGAAATTAATGGGGACAAATTCAAAAAGATCCAAGTTTCAAGAATGCTCATTAGAGCATTCATTGTAATAGCTAAGAAATGGAAACAGTTACAAATAGGAAATCAGTTAAAAAGAGGGGAGGAAAGTATATGTTGTTGTTGTTGTTATGTGCCTTCCAGTTGGACCCCACTCATAGCGTCCCCTCATTGGGTTGCTGAGGCAGTATCACTATGGAAGTAGATTGCCCAAACTTCCTTCTGAGGAGTGGCTAGTGGGTTTGTACTGCCAGCCTTCTGGTTAGAAGTCAAGTGCCTTAGGCACTATGCTACCAGAGCTCCTGGAAAGTATATAGTCCATATAAAAGAATGTGCAGCCATTAAAAGTGATACCAAGTGTATACACTGACAGGGAGAGGCATTCATTTTATAATCAAAAAGCAGGCCACAGATCAACTACCATAGGATGTTTAACTTTATTTTTGTTGAGAATATACACAGCAGAACATCACCAATTCAACAGTTTCTACATGTAAAATTCAGTGACCTTGATTACATTCTTCAAGTTGGGTGACCATTCTCACCCTCCTTTTTGGAGGTGTTCCTCCCCCATTAATGTAAACTCACTGCCCTCTAAGGTTGCTATCTAATCTCTTTAGTTGCTGTTGTCAATTTGATCTCCTATAGATAGTTATTAAAAGAGCAAAATGCTCAAAACAGACATTTTTCACTAGTTAAACTAAACTACAGAAATTCTAGTGGCATAGTGGATAAGGCATTTGACTGCTGACCAGAAAGTCAGTGGTTTAAGCCCACCAACTGCTCCACAGAATGATCTTAAGGCAATAATTTTAGGACTTCATCCAGCCTTCCAGGCTCCAAAAAGATTGGCGTCTATAAGAATTTGAAATTCTGTCTGGCATTTTCCCCCTTTTGATCAAGATTCTTCTATAAAATCTTTGTTCAAAATATTCAGTAATGGTAGCTGGGCACCATCCACTTCCTCTGGTCTCATAGAATAGGAGGCAGTTGTTCATGGAGGCAATTAGCCACACGTTGCACATCCTCCTGTTCCTGCTTCTCCTTGCCCCCTTGCTCCAGGCAAATGGGATGTAATTATTGTGCCTTGGGTGGCCACTTAATAAGCTTTTAAGATCCCAAGAACTACATAACAAACTAGGTGGTAGAACAGAAGCACCAAATACGTTATTAAGTTGATGAAACCATAATCCTAAACTTCCAAACCAGGGATGCCATTTTTAAGTGCATACGTATGTAGGAAAAGTACTGAAAGAATATATACAAAAATACTGTTGATGATTTTCTCAGAGTCTGCTTGTAAATAAGTGTTCTTCAGTGTTTTCAGTTTTCTGTGTTGATTGTTATTTCTATAATTACAAAAAAGAGGAGAAACGTGTCTCTACAAAGCTGGAGGACATGGATGTCAGATGGACTGATAGTAAATGCAGAGTCCAGTGTCAGCTGCATACTGTGCTGAGCTCTAAGGTGTGCATTAAACTGTTGCAGATGCCCTGCTCTGCCACGATGATGAGCTGGAAGGGCGCCGGATCGCCTTCATTCTTTACTTGGTTCCACCCTGGGACAGGAGTTTGGGTGGCACCCTGGATCTGTACAGCGTTGATGGTAAGATAAATGCTCTTCAAAACCAATGGCATCACCATTCTTATCCACAGTAGCTGTACTCCTCAAAGGAGTACATTCATTACACTACTTGCCTCAGGAGGAATTAATGCCAACCCTGACAGCCATCTCCCTGAGTGGTACTTGGTGTAATCCTTATTCCAGGTCGATTAGATTAGATTTAAGATGAGGAATAATCGGACCTTGAATAATCGGATCTGAACACTGATCACGGAAGGGTGGGAAGCATGTAAAGCTGCCTGTGGCTGTGGATTTGCTAGGATCAGTCCATTGGACAGGAAGTCGGGTTTTTGAAGTGATTGACAACCAGAGGTTGACTTCAGAAGACTTTCAGCACTTCTCTCAGCCTTCATCAATAATAGATGGATGCTGTAGGGAGAACAGATGTCACCTAGCAGAACTAGCAAGTAGGAGTGAACCAGATGGAGGGGGGTGGGACCTCAAGATCTGAGGGAACATGTAGCTACCTCAGAAATTTGAGAACTGTCAGTGAAATGAGGTGACCTGAAAGTGGTCAGTGTTGATGAACCACATTCATGGATGTGTTCTCTCCTTGTGCAGAGCACTTTCAGCCGAAGCAGATTGTCAAGTCTCTTATCCCTTCGTGGAACACACTGGTTCTCTTTGAAGTGTCTCCAGTATCCTTTCACCAGGTAAAGATTGTCAGCTGCAGAGACGCAGAGTACTAAGGATCATGGTTTTTTAAAGTCACCTTCAAAATCCTGTCAGATTTGTTACTGGACCAGGTTGTTAGCACACCTGGCGTGAAGGATCCTGAAGTTAATGTGCTTTGGCTACAATTACTATCCCTATTCCTTGTGTTAATGCGCTGCTGGTTTTTTCTTCCAGGTGTCTGAAGTGCTGTCTAAAGAAAAGTCACGTTTGTCTATAAGTGGCTGGTTTCATGGCCCTTCATTGCCCAGGCCTCCCAACTACTTTGAACCCGCCATACCTCGGACCCCTCACATCCCTCAGGACGTAAGGATAGATTCCTATTATCAGTGGGGGTCTTATTTTGAGAGCTGTAGCATATTACTGCTTTATCTGACTTTAAAAATAGCTATTCCTAATAATGAAACTAGACTTTGAACTTGGCCCCCAGTATGAAATGGTGCAAGAACAAAAGCTATGGGAAATGTTAATTTACCTTTTATATCTGTTGCTTCTTTTTAAGCATGAAATTTTATATGAATGGATCAACCCTACTTATCTGGACATGGATTACCAAATTCAGATTCAGGAAGAGTTTGAAGAAAGATCTGAAATTCTTTTAAAGGAATTTCTTAAGGTAGGCCATAACACCTTGTTCTATGTCTCTTGTGTGGCACACAGTCTTGCTTCCTAGGTGAGTGGCATCATTAAGAGATTTTTACCTTTTATTTTTTGTTTTGTTCCTGGTTAGAATGTTCATGTAGTTCTCTTTTTCAAATAAAATACAGAAGTAATGATAGTAGCTAGCATGGGTATGAGTTGTATGCTGCATGGGCCAAGAGTCCCGTGGATATTCCCTATTCTCTAGAATCTTAATGGTGAACACGCACACACTCACACACAGGCTTCCACAGTGAGAGGGCGCTCTGTTGAGTTGTCCTTACTGGGTGCCATCAAGTCAACTCTGACTCAGAGCAACCCGATTTGACAGAGGAGAACAGCCCCATACGGTTGCCAAGGCTGTAATCTTTACAGGAGCAGATCACCAGGTGTTTTCCCCCACAGGCCACTGTGGGTTTGAACTGCCAGCCTTTCAGTTAGCAGCCAAACACTTAACCATTACACTATCACAACTCCTTTCTATATAGTTACTATCCTGTTCATTTGGTGAATGTAAACCAAAAAAACCAAACCCACTACTGTTGAGTCGATTCTGACTCACAGCAACCCGACAGGACAGAATAGAACTGCCCTGTAGGGTTTCCAAGGCTGTAAATGTTTACAAAAGCAGACTGCCTCATCTTTCTCCCACAGACCAGCTGGTGGGTTCAAACTGCCTTTTGGTTAACAGCCAAATATTTTAATCAGTACACCACTAGAGCTCCTTTTGATGAATATAGTGCTTAATATTACTTCTAATAACAGACAGATTACTATTTGATGAACGTCTATAAATGAATGTTTGACAGTGATGAGGCAGCATGTTATATTGGAAAGAGAATTAGATCAGATGTCAGAAGACATGTATTTATGTCCTGGCTCTGGTTTTACTAACCTGAGAAAAATCAATAAATCTGTTTTAGCTTCTACTTCTTCACAAGTTAAACAGGGATAACCCCTGCCTTGCATGCCTTGAAGAGTTGTGAGGACCAAATGAGATCATGAGTATGTGCTTCCGTTGACCAGGGTTTCCCTGGAATCCTAGTCCCAAGAGCAATTCCTCCACACTGTCTGTCTTGGAAATTTGTTCCTAACATTAGCATTTTGGGGGAAGAGAATCTGGGGAGTATAACATTGAAAAGGAGCTCTGGTGGCACTGTGGTTAAAGCATTCAACTGCTAACCAAATGGCCAGCAGTTCCAACCCACCAGTGGTTCCATAGGAGAAAGATGAGGCAGTATACTTCTGTAAAGATTTACAGCTTCGGAAACCCTATGGGGCAGTTCTACTCTGCCCAAAAGGGTTTCTATGACATTCAGAATTGATTCAAGGGCAGTGGGTTTGGGTTTTGGGTTTTTTTATTGTGGTAAATAAACTTGTTCAATACTTATACCATGCTGCAAATCTTTCACATATTTACAGCTGAAAAGACTAATGTTATCGGAATACTCTCTGGACAAGCTCTGTGTTAAACAATTAAACATAAAGCGTCTCTGGAGAATCTTTCAATCTAGTAACCAGCTTCTTATTCTTATGTGACTTTTTAAATGGAGAATGCCGATTGAATGAGCTCTTTATTATTATCTGGAGAGTTTCACTGTAATAACACTGACTAATGCACTTTAATTTTTTTCCTCATATCTTGTGAATTAAAGAGTCTATATTATGATCTTCATTTTATAAAGGTAGGAAATGGAAAGATTTAGCAATTTGACATAAAATACACAACTACTTAAGGGAATGGCCCAAGTCGGCACTTGGATCTCTTGGCTAAGCATGCTGATGATTTATCTGGTGTTGTCTGGGCTCCACCATCAGGAAGAGGGGATCCTGTGTATGAAAGGGGTGAAACTAGTCAACCGGACCTTTTAGAAACCACCCAGACGGATGTCCTGCAGAGGTGCTTCATCTGCGAGACCAGTGTGGGATCGTAGGAAGTTGCCTAACCACTGCTTTCTTTGCTCATTTCTAGCCGGAGAAATTTGCAGAGGTCTGTGAGGCTCTGGAGAAAGGAGATGTGGAATGGAGTAGCCAAGGTCCTCCTAACAAAAGGTAGAGGCCATTGCTAGAGACATTTTCCATAATGCTGCTTTGTCACCAAGTATAACCAATAACAGGTCCCAACAAAATCTCACCGTTGTAGCAACGTGTACCTTAGTAAGCTATGCCAGAACTAGGGGAGTGAGATACAAAGCTAATGCTCCCCTTTTACGTCTTGAGTAACTTTAGTCTGTGGTTTTGATGAACAACTCGCCATTGGTACTTTTTAGGTTTTATGAGAAAGCCGAGGAGAGCAAGCTTCCCAATGTACTAAAAGACTGCATGGACCTGTTTCGCTCTGAAGCACTGTTCTTGCTGCTGTCCAACTTCACGGGCCTGAAGCTTCACTTCTTGGCCCCTTCAGAAGACGATGAGGTTGAAGACAGAAAAGAGGAAGCAGCAGCATGTGCTGCTGACAGCACTGAAGAGGGGACCAGCCATAGCCTCTCAGAGCCCGAGAATCACCCAGTGGCCATCAGCAGTGCCAGCCCGCCGAGCGGTGGCCAGACGGACTCAGAGCCGGAGGGAAAGGAAGCAAAGACAGGTAAGTCATTACGATTTCTCCTTTTCGCACTAAGCAGTCAACATTTAATCATTTATCCACTCAAGAATTATTTCCTGGGCGCCTACTGTATGCTCGGCCCTTTTACAGGAGCTGGAGAACAAACCAGACAACATCTTGGTGATCCTGGCTGCATTCTAGTAGGCGAGGCTTGAGATCAAACATATACACGAGAAACAAGAAAATGTCAAATGGTGATGAGTGCTACGTAGACAGACACGTACCTGATAACACCCAGCTGGCTTTTTCTGTGCAATTCAATACCTAGAACAGCCTTTCTCTGAAAGACTAGTTTTTCTTGATGATTGACACTGACATCTATACCTAGACTCTAAAGGAATCAGGGTGAAGATTTATGAGAACTTGGGGACTTTTTATTGTTTTTTGGATTCGTCCCTTTCTATTCCCCCCCCCCCTTTTTTTTTTTAAAGAGCCCTGGTGGCACAGTTAAGCACTCAGCTGCTTACCAAAAGGGGGCAGTTCAAATCCACTAGCTGCCGCAGAGGAGGATAATGTAGCAGTCTGCTTCCATAAAGACTATAGCCTTGGAAACCCTATGGTAGGAATCAACTCAGTGGCAGCAAGTTTGGTTTTTGAATTATTCCTTTTTTGTTTCATTTTGATGGGAAGAGAATGAAACTTGGAAGAAAAACTATATAGCATCCAAAAGAGTGATTATTCTGTTATTGAGCACCAACTGCATATGTGAGGCCTTCAGTTAAGCCAAGTGGGGGTTATAGAGGGGAGTGAGAAAAGGGACTGTGTACACAATTTACCATCTTGAAAAAAAGCTGTTAAGTTACTGAGATACATATAAAAAAACCACTGCCATCGAATCAGTTCCAACTCAGTGACCCTATATGATAGAGTAGAACTGTCCCATAGGAGTCCAAGTCTGTAAATCCCTATGGAAGCAGACTGCCTCATCTTTCTCCTGCGGAGTGGCTGGTAGGTTTGAACCACCCACCAACCTTTTGGTTAACAGCCCAGTGCTTTAACCACAGCACCACCTGAACTCTGAGATATGTAAAGGCAGTGTAAAATATTGGCATAGCTAGGGCACAGCTACAAAAGAGGCGAAGGCCCTCAGCAAGATGGGTTGACACGATGGCAGCAGCGATGGGCTCAAGTATAGCAAGGATCGTGGAGCTGATGCAGGACTGGGCGGTGTTTCGTTCTGCTGTGCACTGGGTCCCTGTGAGTCAGAGACAACTCGACACACCTACCAACAACAACAATAGGGCACAGATCGTGAGATAACCACAACATCAGGACTGATCATTTTAAGGTTGGTTGGTTGGTTTGTTTTATTGTAAAACATCAATTTGAGGATACTGGGAAAACAAGTAAGTAAAAGGAAACTATTAATCACCTCCTGTTAGCCTCTGTTCATATTTTGGAAGGTATCTTTCTAGTCTTTTTTTTACTATGTACATACAGAAATATGTACAGGCCTGCCCCTTCCCCTTGCATAGAAAGTCCTCACCTTCCCCATCCAAAGTGGCATTGCCTGTCTTGCTTTCTAACATCGCACTTCTAGACGCTTTCATTTGAAGACTGTATTTCACTAAACGTTTTTGAAAACCACCCTTCTGTGATATAATTTTTTATTACTGCAAAGTCTTTCATCCAATGGCCTTAGTCAGTCCCTTGTTGGACATTAGATTATTTTCAGTTCTTCGCCAACATAACAAACAGCAATGCATCCATTACTTTGTCAGAGTAGCGTCTTAGAAGTACACATGCCACATCAAAGACCCCGAGGTTTTAAGGCAAAAGCTCCCTCTTAAAAATGGGTATCAGTTTGTACCCTGCCATTATTGTACATGATAATATTTCCCTACTTCCTTAGCAAAATAATTACTCTTTTCTTTTCCGTGCCTTCCTTTGAATAATGGTGCACGTTTGTACATTTTCCCCATATTTATTGGTTATTTAATTTTCTTTGATGAATGACTTATAACCTCAGCCCACATTTTCCTTTGGGATGTGTCTCGTATTTTTACTGTATTGTAAAAAATGTTACCTATAGGAGTATTAGCCCTCTGGCCTACATAATAAAATGGTTTGTTGTTTAACTTTGTTCAGCATGTTTTCATTTTATAAAGTTTCAGTAATCACACCCACTTTTGCCTTACATAGTTTCTGCTTTCTGTGATGACATGCTTAGAAATCTCTTTCTTACTCTAAGATATAATAAAATTCAGGTTCTAATTTTTTTTTTCCTTTTGGCAACTAAATTTACACCATCTGCAATTTATTTTGGTATAAAGAGAAAAATAGAAATTCAACTTTTTTCCCCAAATAGTCAGCCCTAGTATATCTGAGAGTCATTTACAAGGCTGAATTGGTGTAACAGCAGATCTGCTGACGGTTGAGGGTGGGGTTTCCCTGTAGTGCTGTGGGGTCTCCATAGCGCTGTGCTGTCCAAGTGATCATCCTCTTATAGTCTAGCACTTCTATCTTGGTTATTTTTTACCCTCAGCTAATTTTTCTGGCCCATCTTCTGTTGCGTTTTCTTAGAGTCTAATGTTCCCACATGCCATGGGGAGCTGAGGCATTGGAAGACTGGTCACTACACTCTCCTCCATGACAACAGCAAGACTGAATTTGCCCTGGACTTACTTCTCTACTGTGCCTGTGAGGGTAAGATGGCGGAAGGAAGGCGGTGAAATATTTCCTTTGAGGGACAGTTTCTCCTGGGTGACCATCTCTGTCTGAACCAAGATCTCAGAACACAGGAACTCAAAGATGGAAGCGATGTTGGAGGTCATAAATTTCAGTCTCTCAACTCAACAGGATTGGTATCTGTGACTAGAAGATGGGGAGATGGACCATATGTTACTCTCTCTTAAATAGCCCCCATATCTACAGCTTCTACATAATTGGCCTTCTGGAGATATGTAACACTTAATTCTTCCTTAGTTTCCAGTTCTTATTCAGTGTTGATTGAAATAAGCCCAAACTCCAGTTCAGCTTTCTCAGGAAATTAGACCTTTAGGGAAAAGAAATCCCTAAAGCTGGATGCTAAATTTAGGCTCCCAGGTCATAGAGTTGGTTGCTAACCTCCAAGCTCTCCCTATTTTAAGCAGCTTGCAGTCACTGAGTTTGGCAGATGATGTAACTCTTGTGAGAGCTTTCTGATTACTGTTTGTTTTCACTTATAAGGCTGGGAGCCAGAATATGGTGGCTTCACTTCCTACATTGCCAAAGGTGAAGATGAAGAGGTAAGTTGCTTCTTATAGCAAACTACCCTTTTCAGCTCTTGAGACAACTTTCATTCTTCGCAGACCCCATGTTTTTGGCCTTCTGCTAGTATCTCTGGCTGCTGAATCCATGTTGGTCTTCCTGGCATCAGTTTAATTTCTAGGAGAAAATACCCAGCATGGAATAATAATGTAAAAGGAGAGTAAATCAGTAGGCATTTGTTCTGCCATATCAAGTCCTGCTGAGAACTTCCAAGTAAATTAAGAGCCACTTCATGCGTTCCCATGAATCTTTTAAGTTAGCAAGAAGTAAATGCATGAGGTAAAATCTTTCTGGGTATGTGCTGGATGGGGGCCTGTCAGAACTGTGTCTTGACAGCCAGAACAGAGGCTCTTCCTAATACAGGATCTTTCAAAGGATTCCCTTTCCTTCATCTAAGTACTTGTATGGAAACCATCTCCATGCAATGACGGATTATTGAAGAAAGCCGGGCAAGTAAGCACTTTTGTTCTGATGTGTCATTGTATTTGCTGATTTCAGCTGCTAACAGTGAACCCAGAAAGCAACTCTTTGGCACTGGTCTACAGAGATAGAGAGACTCTGAAATTTGTCAAGCATATTAACCACCGAAGCTTAGAACAAAAGAAAACTTTCCCACACAGAACAGGTTTCTGGGACTTTTCATTTGTCTATTATGAGTGACGGGACTGGTCAAAGCTGAACAAAGTAACCCTTCGTCAGTACTGGCAAGTCTGGAAGCGCTAGGCGGGGAATGAAGGAGAGCTACCTGGTCGTGTGCCCCGCCACAGTGTTCTCAAAACCGTTTTGGTCCTTTAACAGGACTCATATGAATTATGCTCCATCTAGACCTTGAGCTTGGAGCAAGGTACTTACCTCGATTAAAAAAAAAGTTTCATTGTTAACATTCAGTTTTTCATTTTCTGTATTGACTTCTTCAGTGACTTTTATTTAACTTCAGTGATCTTTTTTTAAACTCATACATGCGTATAAATGATTGACAGTTGTACCCTTCCCAAGTTCACTGGTTTCTAAAATTACAGAACCTTACATCCTGTTCATGCTGGGCCTTAAAGAGTTCTGACATGACTTGATTTGTTACACTTCCTCCCACGGCCTCTAGCTTTGTTCCACTGTGCGCCCCACACACAGGGTAGACTTGGATGGTGTGGATGGAATATTACTCCATTGGAAAAGGTCTGGCCTAAAACCACATGGCCCCAAGAGACTTCTGGTTGGTCAGGAAGAGGTTGTTTCCACCACATGTAGTCGTTTGTGGGTGCTTGCCCCTTTCCATCATGGAGTTATGGCTGCTATATGACTAAGAGTCTAGGCTTACATGTGGCTTTCATTTTCCCAAGTGCTATAGAGTCACATAAAACTAGTTGCTTTTTCTTCTTTTCAAATATATTTTACTGTAAGAGTCCAGATGCTAAAAAGTCACATTGTAATGCCAAGAGACTATCCATTTTGTTGTATCTTATTTTCTAGAACTGCTCCAGGAGGTTATGTAACCACCTGTGTACGAGTGTGGGTATAGTGTCATTGCGTCTTTAGTTGAAAGATGCTGTTCAGTACAAAACAGATCTCATCCCAACATTTTCTACCTGTTCCCTTTTTTTTTTTTTTCACATTTATTTCTAGGCATTGCAGTAGCTTTTAGTTTGGGTTTTACTGATTAATAGGAAAAGCACTGGGCATTTAAACTCCTTACCACTCTTCTCTTTTATCTCCTGAAATTTGAGTACTGATTCTTTTCTAAAGTTTGCATTTAAATGAAGAGAATGAGTTTCATTTTCAGCCTTTTAGATTGATAGTTTCAAAAATTTTTTGATAATGCACCCCACTGGTAAAAAGCATTTTATTTTAGCAGGTACCCACCCGTATATGAATATTTTATTTATAAACTTTACATGTATACTAAGAGTCCATGTTTAAAAAAAAAAAGAAGGAAAGAAGCCTCATGTTTAAAAGATGAGATAAAAAGCAGTACCTATCATTAGTTCTGATACTGCTTTTCCACACTTTGATGGATCATTGTATAAACAGCCCATTTCAGAGACCAGTTTTCTGGTAGCATAGCGCCTAAGGCATTTGACTGCTAACCAGAAGGCTGGCGGTTCAAACCCACCAGCCACTCCTCGGAAGGAAGATGGGGCAATCTACTTCCGTAGTGATACTGCCTCGGAAACCCAAGGAGGGGTCACTATGAGTCGGGTCCGACTCGACGGTACATAACAACAACAACAACATGGTGATCCTGACACCAAAAAACCAAACCCACTGCCGTTGAGTCAATTCCGACTCGTAACGACTCCCAGTAGGTTTCCAAGGTGATAAATCTTTATGGTAGTAGATTGCCCCATCTTCCTTCCACGGAGTAGCTGGTAGCTTTGAACCGCTAACCTTCTGGTTAGCAGTCAAATGCTTTAGGCACTGCACCACCAGCACTCATTGATGACACTGAAGTGGGATTATAAAAAGTTTGTTGAAATTGCAATGCTTGCCTTTTAAGTTCCTGCAGATTCAAGGTCAACACTGTATTACTTTCACTCACTTTCACTCACTTGCATTCTGACGTGTTCTCATGAGTGGAGAGAAGGGTGAGTTTATGGTTAACACTGTCCATGGCATACAACCCCAGGAAGGCCCAGGGAACAGTGTGAAGCAGGGGAAACCATCATGTGTGCCAAGCTTGGAAAACCTTTTTAGACTCAAGGCTCTAGGTAACATCTAAGAAAACATCCAACTTCCAACTCTGGGGAGCTAAGTTAAAAGCATACTGCACAAGTGTTAAAATGTCCCTCCCTTATCACAGAGTGGTTATGGTCTGTCAACTCAGGGTCTTCCTTACACTCAAGGGCTTTGCTGTCTGAGGGAGAGAAGCCCTAAGAGCCAACTCCATCATTGCTCTCAGTTGCAACAGCAGCAGCTGCTCTACGACTATGGAGGGAGATGAAATTTGCAGGTCACTTTTCTCCACTGAAGATAGGCAGTGGCTGAGAAGCTGCTTTTTCTCAGGACTTCATTTTTCACCTTGATTACATTTTGGGACTGGGGTGCAATGTCAGCAACTGTGAAATGGCAAAAGAGGAACTAAAACACGGGGTGCTGTATTTCTCTTTCAGGTAAAAACTATGTTCACCTTCACAGTACATGGCATCCAACTCTTACAACTCCCTTCATAGAAAAGGAACATGTCTTCTTTCCAAAAAGAATAACTTTTTTTTCCCCAAAAAAATTATATAAATAAAATGCATTCATTGTGAAGAATTCAACATGTACAAATAAGAAAAAAAGGTCACATGGAGCTCCCACTATCCTGTGACAAGCACTGTGATCATTTTGCCATGGGTCATCTTGGCTACACTGAACGGTTTCAAGAATTGCCCTTTGCTGTGTTTCTGGTTAGGGTGAATCACAAATTCTTGTGTAAGACTTGGAAGCCAAGTAAAGCAGCTCACACACCTGGTAGCTTATCTGTTGGCTCACCTCCTTGGCTTGAGGCAGGAGCTGGGCCTGCAACTGCTCCACCTCACCCTTAGATCTTCCTTCAGTGTCTCCAACTCTTGAGTCAGAAGTAGTAGTTCTGTTCTGTGATGAAGGGGCTAAGCTTCTGAAAGAGGCCCACACCTTCAAGGTCAAGGTCAAGAAAAACTGACCTGGATTTCAGTACATCTTCCTGGGCTCCATCGGCTCACACCTGTGGGTTCCAGCTTGTTCTCCAGACTTGGCTTCTGTCTCCTCCTGCTGATTGCCTTGTGCTGCACGCTTCAAGCTCCAGCATCAGATGTGGAGACAGCAGCTTTTCAGAGACTACTGAACCAGGTAGCTAAAGTCAAATTCCCTACAACAAATCCCTGTATATGTTAATCACAATGGAAATTAAGAACATTTTCACAAAGTCCTTTGTGAGCAAATTCTTTTAATAAGAAAAATGTTTAAGAACTCTATAAATATGCCAGTCCCTAATTTTAAAGATGTGGAAAAGGGAAGTGCTGTTAGGTTTTATATCTGGCTTTTATACTGATCAAAGGTTCCTGTCAAACACCACTTGATGTCCAGATACCATTTACCCCTAGAAAACTGGCGGGGGGGGGGGGCATCTTGGGCTGCCTCTCCCAGACCGCTTTGCAACCAGTCTTTTGGCTGTACTGTCTTTCACCCCATCATATACTTACCACTATTAAAATTGATAAAATGCAAATCTGTTAAAAAGGTTCTTGGTAAAGATCTACTAAGATGATGCCAGAGGCAGGCTGCAGCCATCATGGAACTGAACAGTCCTAAAACTACTCAGAAATTGTCCACATGGCCTCATTTTAGGAAAGCAGAGTTCTGCACCATATAAATAACAAGGTAAGTCGGGGGCCAGATGGGAACTAGAGAGAAAACACAGAACACCAGGCTGCGAAGGGTGTCTTACTTTAGTTTCAAACAAAATAACTGGATTCTATGATCACAGAACTCTGAATTTTCAGATTTTAATTGCTTCTTAGAACTTTAGAAACATTAATATCAATGTTGAAAATAATTCCTGTTAACTCTTCTAGATTTGCACATGTAGTCGTAAGTTCTCAGTTCTCATTTCTGGAGCTGTTGCCAAGCTCACTGAGGCGAGACAGCTCCAGGGAGAGCAGCTGGCGCTCTTCCACGGTTTCTGTGCTCGAGGCATTTGCTGAGCACAGTTGGGAAAATAAAGATATAGCCTTGTTTTCTCCTATTAGAGGGTTAAGATTTATATAAACAAAAACAGGTCAGAATGTGGTAAGGCTTAAGGAGTAGACATGGCAGAGGAAAGAAAGATTTCCTGAGGCAGCAGATGTGGTAAGAAATACCAGAAAACCGAGTTCTCCTTAAAATAGCAATTACTTGAATTTTTTCAAGGGGAGTGAGTTTTTTAAGGGCACAATCTCGAATCCTTGCAATCAGTTTTTAAATAAAGGCAAGAGTTCACTTCAAGATTCAATAAAATTCAGGAAACAAGAAGAGTTGGGCTGTAGCTCCTGGAAGGCACTCAGATTCCATCAGCATAGGAAAATATGGCAACAAAACAGAGACGTCACCGGTAAGCTCATTTCTCAGTGGGTGGAGTTTTTCTCATTCCTACACGGAACGGGTTGACCTGTTCTTCTCTAATTAGTAACTGAGGAAAGGGGGAAAAGGTAGTTGAAGGTTTTGTGAACAGTTTTCTGTCACTCAGACTTGACTTACTTGGGAACAGTTTGAAGTAACAGAAAGGACCATGACTACTTGGTTTCCAGCCTCCACACCCCACCTACCCAGGTGGGACCTTATATAAGACATTTGTCTCCAAGCTTAGAGGCATCATCTATAATGAATACTGATATCAAGAGGATTGGAAGCAAGCTCATTGTAACTTCTCAATCAGAACAACTGAAAGATACCTTCTTCAGGTTAACCTTTTCAGATCTTGCCATGAATACTTTAAGTCTACAGAGGAAGTTTTTGGCTAAAGACCTACAAGAATGACCTCTGATGAGATTATTAGGGTCCCTGAAAATGATTGCTGCCATACATTTTAAAACCAGTTTTAAAACTGAAGATTTTTACTTCAAAAGGTATAGTTTAGAATATGGGTGAACAGAAGACTCAGCAGTGGGAGTAACTGGCCCTGCCGAGGTCATCTTTGCTCATTTCTGAAGCAGTGTAATGATACTCTACTGTGGAGATCACTGAAAGTAACAGGAAATGGGGTGTCTTTGAGCTTATAGACTGAAAATGCACAAAAGAGGTATGTAGTGCAGATTCTCGTATAAACGGGACTCTATAAAGCTCATGTTTCAGAAATAGAAGGTAACCCTAACTGGCCAACAGAGGAGACTAAAAAGATTATACTAACTTAAGTGGCGGTCACCCCTTCCCACTCCCCCAAACTGCTCACAAATGCTGTTGGGATGTGGAAACTGACTACGGTTTTAGTCCTTAGTCTGCCCTAAAATCTATCTTAGGGTGGATTTTAACTCCTAGGGGAGGAAGTGCTAGCTCTTGGCACTAACATGAGCTTTCTCCTCCTCATAGGCACACAACTAGTCTTTCCTGGACTCCCTTACAGTAAGGTGTGGCCATGTTAGCCAACAGAATTTGAGTGGAGATGAGCTCGGGTGGCATAGTGCCTAAGGCATCTGACTGCTGGCAGAGTGGCAAAATCAACCAGTCCCAACATCAGAATTTTATACACAGAAGGCTGGCAGTTCACATCCACCAGCCACCCCTCAGAAGGAAGATGGGGCAATCTACTTCCATAGTGATACTGCCTCAGAAACCCAAGAGGGGTTGCTATGAGTTAGGTCTGACTCGGCAGCAAGGTTTTTTTTTTTTTTTTTTGTACTAATTCCAGGCCACAGCTTTTAAAAGCTATTTCCTCCTTGTTGTTTGCCTTTACTGGCTAGATGTAGATAACCACAGGCCCAGGGCAGCTTTTCTCAGAGTGAGAGATTTAAGCCCCGGGATGTAGTGAATTACATGGTATGGCTTTTCTAGCCATAGTCTTTGTAACTCCCGCCAGATTACTGGGTGGGGCCATGCAAATATGTGTCAGTTTGGCTGGGCAACTTGTAGTAGTTATTGCCTATAATGAGACTAGCAATTAACTCTATAGTGGAATTTGCCATGATCAACTGAGTAGCTGCTTTTAAACTCCTGATTGTTAAAGTATTTCTGTTGGAGCTGGGATATTTCTGTTGGAGCTGCACGAAATAATCGGGGAACGTTTGCTCGCTCTCAAGTATGTAAAACTCTGATGTTGGAATTGGTTAGTTTTGCCACTCTGCCAGGCTTAAAATGAGTCCTCTTGGAGGCAGAGGGGGAATCTTGCTACTGGCTGAGAGAGATGCCCACCTGAGAGACAGCAGCAGTGGAACCAAGAAGCATGAGACAGAACAGCAGGCTTACTTGGGCCACAGAGGCCAGGCCAAGAGGCCAAGGGCCAGAGAGGCGTGTCTAAGGAGACAACAGAGGGCAGACTGTCCTGATCAAAGAATTCTATCCTGAGCGCATTCCAGAACTTGAACTGTAGCCTATTGCTTCTCTAATAAACCCCATAATCTGTGAGTTGTGTGTGGCCACTGCAGCGAATTATCAAACCCAGCAAAGAGGTGGTAGGTGCCGTGAGAGAGGCAGTTAGTGTCAAGGTTGGTAAGAGGGCTAGAAGGTGGCAGCATGTCTGGCCTCAGGAACAGGCCTTGGGTTGCCGGTGGTGACTCTATCTTCCTCTTGTGAAGTTAGAGGAGGTCAGAAGATGCCACCTCCATGCCCCTTTAGCAAGCCTTAATGCCCTAACCGCCACTGTATGCAACAAATGTGAACATCATTTTCCGTATGCTTATTAGAAATAAGAGAACCCAGGTTGACAGTGACTGTCTAGGAGATGACTGAACTACTTGATGAAAGGAACCTGGGCCCCTATATCAGTGTGAAGAGAGCCTTACATAAATTAGAAATAAATGAGTCATGAATTTTGAGGTCTATTTGTTACAGCAGCCAGTGTCACTCCTACCCCTAGTAATAGATCACCCTGAACTGACTCCTTTAATACAAATTTATTGTTTATGTTCACCTTTCAGTGATTAAAAAGAAGGCAGACAATCAATTATCCATGCTTTTTTCTCATCAAAATACAAATGGTTTATGGACTTAATTCTCATATGGTGGTTAATTTTATAATCAGTCAACACAAAGTTAGATAACCTTTGAATTTTAATGAAAAAGTAGATAATCTATTTTAAAATGACAAATTCAGTTACAATTTCAAGAATAAAAACATGTAGCTATACAGTGGTTTTACATACAAAAAGAAAAATTTGACTTTGAAGCCCTAAAGTTGACTTCCTCCATACAAGCAATGGGATTGGTGACTGGAAAAAAAAAAAAAAAGTGAAGACATTTTTCAGCTGCAATTCTTTGTCTTTCCTTTTTAGAACTCACCAGGGCTGTTTTACTCTCAGCACCCTGGGCCCACCAGGATGTGGTCCAAAGCAAACCAGCCCAGAGTCAGAAGAAAAACATTTTCCAGACACTTCATTTCCTCTCCTTCCCTCTCCTATGAAGGAGCTGTCCCCACTCGCATTATTCTGAACAATGTGTTGATGTTGTTGCTTCGAATTGCATCTCGACAAGCAGTGATCACCTGGTTCTTTGCTTTTCCAACTGTATGAGAGAAACATCAGTTAGTATGATCTCAAAGATTATTAAAAATAAAATTATAAATCAGAGACGAGTTTTAAAGCAACATATAACCAGGATAAAAAGAGTTATGTGATGTGCAAATTTAACTAACATTATCTCACCACTCCCTGAAAAAGAGAACTTTGATTTGGACTTTATCAAACCAAACCAGAAGACCATCTCAAACCTAAAGACCAGCAGTCAGTGTGACAAAGAAGGATCACAGTTCAAATCCACTAGCAAAGGTGATTTCTAAAAGGAGGTCAGAAGAAGCAACAGCCCAAGACAGCAGAATTCAGGTATAATCTCTTGCTATATCTCCATCCTTTGGGTTTATCTTAAGGAGCTCTGGTGCTGTCGTGGATAAGGCTAACCAGAAGGTCAACAGTTCAAACCCATCAGCTGCTCTGCAGAAGGAAGATGGGGTGATCTATTTCCATAAAGATTTACAGCCTCGGACACCCAACGGGGGTCACTATGAGTTGACTTGATGGCAGTGAGTTTAGTTTGGGTTTATCTTATTCTTTTTCTAAACTTTTAAGTAAGATGCTCAACTCATAAATATCCACCCTCTTTTTCTAATAGGAGCCTGTATGGCTCTACATTTCCTCTTGGATATATGTCACTAGGATTTTCTTTAGAGGATGCAGCAAGATCTAAGAAAAGAGGCTGGAGGTTTTCTTTCCCTATGAAGTCTGGAGGAACTCTGGTAGCATAGTGCCTAAGGCATTTGACTGCTAACCCACCAGCCACTCCTCGGAAGGAAGGTGGGGCAATCTACTTCCGTAGTGATACTGCCTCAGAAACCCAAGGAGGGGTCGCTATGAGTCAGGTCTGACTTGACAGCACATAACAACATGAAGTCTGGAGACTAAAACCCAACTAGAGGCTCACTGACCAAAACACAAGTGAGTGGTGCCAACCTGCTTGGTACAGGTAGGCTACTCATGGCCCCAACATGAACTCCTGACTACACCACCATCTTCAATGATTTTCACCAAAAAATCTCCACGAGTAGTGCTATGAAAAGACATACCACGCAGCCGGCCTGCTCTTTGTATCGCCTGATTTACTGCTTTTAGGTTTCCCAATAGCTCTGTGTGATTGTTACAGCGAATTTTATATCCATTTAGCAAATCCTTATTAAGGTCATACAGTTCCATATAGCGATTCTTCATTGTTTTCCTGTGTAAACCAACAGAAATATAACATCATTCTACCTCAATATGGCAGACTTAAGTGGAAAAACTTGCAAACCTATCAGAAATAAAAAGACACCATTTTTAGCTATATTTTCATTAAAACAGAGTAATTGCTAAAGCTTACTTTGAAAACATTGAGTTTTCCTCAAAATATTTATTTCTTCCACATACAAGGAAAGGTAGTGGCCTTCATTGTTTATTGGTCTATGATTTGCTGGACTCAGGAACTAAGAATGACCAAGTGCCAGTGTCCCCACTGGAAGAGGGGAGTGAGCAAGGTGATCAGCTATCCTCCACGTTTCAGATGATTACTTCTTTAATGAAAGAGACCCTGGCTTACCAAAATATTTTTGGACAAACAGATTCAGCTTCCTATTTTATCAAGGCTTTAAAAACAAAGGTATACAATTAAAAACATGAGATATTCCCATAGAATGATTAAAATTTAAAAACTGATAATACCCATTAGCCATTAGAGATGCAAATCAAAACAAGATACCATCTGGCCCCAGCACCAGGAGCAAAGTTCAACAAGACAGAATATAACAAATGCTGGCGAGGATGCAGAGAGATTGGGACTCTCATACACTGCTGGTGGGACTGTAAAATGATACAACCACTGTGGAAAGCAGTATAGCAATTCCTTAAAAAGAAATACTATTTTGACCCAGCCATTCCATTACTAGGTATGTATCTGTGGTGGTTAAGTCTGTATGTCAACTTAGCTAGGCCTGGTTGAGTGGCTGGGCAGCTGAGTGCAGTTATTCCCCATGCTGAGATTGGTAATTTACTCCATGGTGGAATCTGTTGGAGCAGCTGAGTAGCTGGTTTGGGTATCTGGTCTGCTTCCCGTATATAAGAAGCAGCTTTGGGAATGGTCTCTAGCTTATGGCACGCTTGGACCCTGCATGTAGCTGAGTCGTCGTTCAGCAGCCTGCCGTGCTCTGCTGACCTTGGGACTTTATTGAAAGTGGATTGGAATTAATGCCTGCCATGTGGTTTGATAACATCAGGACTGTGCCTTTTTACTCGTCAACCTTGGGTTTGGTTTGTTGGTCTCAGCAGCCAGCAGCTATCTGAGTGAAGAAAAGCCTCTAGCCCCAGGGGGCCGGGAGCAGGAGGCAGAGCTGAACACCAAGGTTGAGGGGTTATCACCCAGCCCCTAGAGCCTAGCACTTTGAACTCAGACTTAAAGCCTCCAAACTGTAAGAATAAACTTCTATTTTTTCAAGCAATCTCATTTGTGGTATATTCCTGTCAGAGTGGCACCAGGTAACCAGAACAATGTCCTAAAGAAGTGAGAGCCAGGACAAGAACAGACATACGTACACTCATGTTCATCGCAGCATTATTTACAATAGCCAAAAGATGGAAACAACCTAGGGGTCAATCAACTGAAGAATGAATAACCAAACTATGGTACATACACACAATGTAATACCATGGAACCCTAAAGAACAGTGTAGAATCTGCAAAACACCGCATAACATGGATAAACTTGGAGGACATTATGCTGAGTGAAATAAGTCAATCACAGAAGGACAAATATTATATTAGTCCGTTATTGTAAAAGTCAAGGAACAGTATATATATGGAAGGAAATTTTCTTTGTTGGTTACCAGGGGTGGGAGGGGAGGGGAGGGAATACTGTTAGATAGGTAGAGATAAGTAATGATCTGGTTAAAGAGAAGGGCAATGTACCAAATGTGAGTGATCAACACGGTGGCATTGAGGAAGAGGAAGGCATAGAGAGGTACATGGGAGGCGCAGACAACAAAGATGAACCCTTTTGCACGTACAGCACGTACAGTACTGCTTTGTCAGTGAAGGCAAACATGGATATATGGGAGGACAGATGGGTGGACAGGCTGAACTATTAGGTATGTCTATGCAGGGGGCTCTGGTAGCATAGTGGCTAA